ACTAATAATTATTCTTTTTGCAATTTAGATAGTATAGGGAAGGTCACCCTATTTAGTTGTTAGTTTTGTATAATCTGAATTATACTTATAATTTCTAAAAAAAATGATCACCTGTTTTGAGATGTATTGCTTGATATCATCCTCAGTGACCTTGCTGCCTTTTGATCTAACGACGAACGCAACCGGAACTTCCCCTGCTGCCTCATCTTTCATGCTGAAACACACAAAATTAGAGCGTAATATAGTAAGTATTGTATATATTCATCGGGAGCCAAATATTTACCTTATCTGTTAAAAAATAATTATCTTCTTTTTATTTATTTATTTATTTTGAATTTATTTTAAATTGATTATTATTATTTTTTAAAAAATAAATAAATATTTTTTATTAACTTTATCATTATTCATTCCTGTTAATTTATTATCTAATTACAAAAAAAGTTTCTTTTATTTTTTTTGAGATATAATAAATAAATATAAATATTATCTTAAATTTGTAAATAAAATTTTTTTAAATAACAGTTATTTTATTTTTTTTTAAGTAATATTTAAACATTTTAAGTGTAAAGCTAGATTAATTAGTGGCGGAAGACTTACGATACTACAGCAGCGTCAGAGATGTTGGGATGGGCGATTAACATTGCTTCCAGCTCGGCCGGAGCTACCTGGAAACCTTTGTATTTAATCAGTTCTTTCAACCGGTCAACGATGAAGAGCTCGTCGTCGTCGTCGATGTATCCGATATCGCCGGTGTGCAACCACCCATCTTTGTCTATGGTTGCCTTCGTCGCCTCCGGGTCATTAAGATAACCTGCCAACAAGGAATGTTAAACACAAAATGTCAGATCTTTAATTATTGTTAGACTAGAACATTTGCAAAAGAAAATTTTCAGGAACAGTATTTAACTCATGCAGAAATTACAGATAATCCTCCGACATTTTGATTGAAATTGTATTAATTTGACTCAAAATGTAGGGCACTACAGTATCATGAATCTTAATTAAATGAGTGGGATTGATTTTAGTCCCCTCCTCTAAAAACCCAGATTTTGTAATTCAATATAAATAATATGATGCAAAAGTTACTTTTAATATTATATTATAATATTATTAAGTGAACCTTAAATTGATAAGGTATTTTTTTAAAGAATATTGAGTATATTTTCTTAATTGTCTTGAATTTTTTGGGCAAATATTTGGCCTTGAAATTCAGGCAGAGTACTTTTCATAATTCATATAGGGTGAAACTTTAAGGGAGCTAGGTGTGCTTTTCTATAATTAAAGAGGGTCAATAGCACTAACCTAGTTACCTCAGTCTAATGAATGGCAATTGCTTAACTTTTATGCCCAATAAGAGGATGCATTAATTTAATTATTGAATGGTTTTTTATATGTTTTTTTAAGGATGTACTAAAAAAACTGTTTTAAGGAGAAATTACATATAATTTATCTTATAAAATTATTTAATTATTTTTAATTGTTTTTATTACTTTTTAGGGATATTTAAATCATTTTACATGATTATGTCTTGTAAAATAGTTTTCTAATATATTAATTAATATATATTTTTAATTAAATTATACAAAAATAAAAATTAACTTTAATTTTAACAATTAATTAAAATAAAACACATAATATTAGTACTAAAATTGATATCAAAATTTTTCATAAAATTTAATTACTAAAAGTGTATTAATTACACATTTAACACATGCTTTTAGAACAACTGTTAATGATGTATTTATTAAATTTTTTTCAATTAATTTGTATAAAAAAATAAAAGTTAATTTTAATTTTATTAACTGTTTGATCCATTTCATTAAGATATTTCACATGATATTAATATTGAAAATAAAATTTACTTTTATGATCTTTGAACTAAATTAATGATAAAAAATAAATAATAAATATGCTATTAATATATGTCATTAAGAGATATATTAAAAAAATCATTTATTTGTTTAGGTTTTCTAGCATTCGCTCTTAGAAAACATATTAAGGGTGCAATTAAGATTTTTTATAATAATTGGTATTAAAAAAAAGACATTAATTTAATAATTATTTAATTAAAAATAATATTTAAATTCAAATTAATTTTTATATTTTTAAATATTAATTAATATAAAAAAATATATTAATTACGGTCTTAATATCTTTCCTAAGACTACATATTAAAGAAACTTTATTTAATTTAGTGAGGCAGCCCGTGGAAGAAAATTAATTTAGCGGCTGTAAAATAGGGTGCCTAGGACAGCCGGCCCGGTGAGGTCCGTGGCTACATGCCACTCACATGTGACCATATTAAAAAGTTGACACTAAATCTTTTAGTTTATTTAATTTGAAAAAAAAATAAAAATAAAAAATAAAAGAGAGAGAAAAAAAATTTTCATAATCCAAATTAAGATACTAACCTAATATTTTGATTTAATTTAATATTTCGCCCTCCCCTCTCTTATTTCTCTTAAACCAAAAAACCATAAATCTTAAGATTAAAAAAAAAAAAAAAAACCATAAATCTTGTTCATGTGCGCTTGCCACATGGATAAAATATTGAGGCCAACTTGATAACAACAGCTTACCTATTGAAACTCTAACAAGTCACCTCTAACTTGTAACTCTATACTATTTCATATTCAATAAGTCCTAACCACTAACATTCATTAATTAAAAATAAGACTTTATCAATGATGGGTACCTTTCATAATTTGGCTACCCCTGATGCAGATCTCCCCTGATTGATTTCGCGGCAAGGAAGCACCGGAATCAGGGTCAACAATCTTCATCTCAGCATTCCTGACGACGGTTCCACAGGCACCGGATTTTATCTCAAAGGGTTCCTTGGCAAAGGCCAAGCACATAGCTAGCACTGGTCCAGCCTCCGTCATCCCATAACCCTGCACTTATTGCACCATACAAAAACAGAGTGCCCTGTTATCCTCTCATGCGTTTCTGCCGATTCTAATTTAATTCATCACCACGTATTCGGTAACCACAACTTCAGCCTAATAAATTTTCTCAACTCCTGTATGTCTAGAGCCATGAATGAGCTACAACCGAAAGTTTCCAAAAACTTTCAATTTAACTATTTATCCTTCTTCAAGAAATTATGTTTCAGGATTAAAGAGTTACATTACGGAAATTTCAAAAAAAAAAAGAAAAAGTAATGGCTGATTTTTAAGTTGCCAAAATTAGAAAACACCCCTAGTAACCAATCATCCATCAAATTAGCAAGCTCAGTATTTTCATTTATGGCACATGACCTTTATATTCTATCTAAAAATTTTTCTTGAAAAATTTCTCATAACTTAACATAAATATTTATTAATTTTTTTATTCGGTGAGATTCGTGAGTGAATTGGTATTATTGACGTGCAGCATAAGTATTTTCAAAAATGATTTTTTTCAATGCATACAGTACAAACAAAAAAAAAAGTAAAGTAAATTGAAATTATCAAAACATTTTTAATGAATTTTTTTAAACTTCACATTAATTTATTAATAATGTTTTTGTTAATTTTAATGTAATTCAAATATTATATAAAAAAAAAAAACCCTTAATAAAATTTTAATTTATTAATAATATTTTTGTTAATTTTACTATCCTCCATGTATTTTTGGCATCATGTGACCATCACGAAAATTTGTTATCAGCCAATATTTTGTGACTGTTATTGTGGGGGGAAAAACTGAAGTAAATATAAATCAATTTGTACCTGTCCAAGCTTTGCTTTAGGTAACTTGGCCCTAACAGCATCCTCGAGCTCCTTCCCCATCGGCGCGGCGCCGGACAACACCGTCCGGATCGACGACAGGTCATACTTATCGATGTCCGGGTTCTTGGCAATCGCCAGAACAATCGGCGGCACAAACGGCGCAATTGTAACCTTGTATTTCTCAACAAGCTCCATCAATTTCACAATCTCAAACTTCTGCATAATCAGCATCGCCGCCCCAACCCTCAGAGAGCAGAGCAGAACAGAGTTGAGTGAGTATATGTGAAACAGAGGCAAAACACAGAGGATCACATCCTTTGCATGGAAATACAAATTTGGGTTCTCGCCATCGACTTGCTGCGCCACACTGGTGACTAACCCTTTGTGCGTCAGCATCACCCCCTTTGGCAGCCCTGTCGTCCCGGAGGAATACGGCAGAGCCACGACGTCTTCGGGATTGATTTTCACGGCGGGCATTTCGTTTTCGTCCCCCTGAGTCAGCTCCGAGAAATGCAGGAATCCCTCCGGCGGTTCATCGATTGTCATGACCTTGACGTCGTTGTCTTTAGCGAAATCCCTCACTTTCTCTGCGTAGCCCGCTTGGGTTATGATCAATTTGGCCTTCGATGCAGTTGCTTGCTTTGCGACATCCGCAGGAGTGTAAAAGGGATTGGCGGTGGTGCTGATGGCTCCACGATATGACGCACCGAGAAAGGCAAAGACGAATTCCGGTGAGTTCTGGAGCAAAAGCATGATCACATCCCCCTGTTGAATCCCCAAATTGTTCAGCCCTGTGGCGACTTTACGGGCGGTGAGCTCGACATCCGCGTAACTGTAAACTTTTCCGTCTGCGCCATTGATCAGGCAAGGACGATCTTGAAATTGGGCAATGTTTTCAAAGCAATACGTGTGCAGGGGAAGGTGGTTCGGGATGTAAATGTCCGGTAATTTTGATCGGAAAATGAATTCCGGCTGCTCTAGTTTACCCTCCATTATTGCAGAGAGGTAGGAGAAGAGCGGAGTTTGCTTGTGGAGCAAAAGGGAAGGTGGGTGTTTTGGTTTTGCTTCCCTTTGTTGGTTTGGTGTTGATTTAGGTAATATACAAGTAGGTGGTGGCAGAGACGAACCGGTGAAAGGGAGTTAAATAACAATTAAAAATTTATCAATGGTATAAACGTCAAACAAATAAGAAAAGTGACATATTTTATCTTAAAAATGATTTTTTTTAAAAAAATAAATAAAGGAAAGAGACAAGTAACCCCTAAATTAACCCATGAGTTTAGTTTCAATTTTCAATTTAGTTTTAAAACACCTTTTTGTGCCAATGAAGCCACCATGCCACGTGGTAAGGTAAAGCGACCCAAAAAAAAAAAAGAAAAAAAAAGTGCGGTGATCTCATGTGATTATGATGCCTTTGTTAATGCATTTGGTCAAGTTTCTCACTATCCATAAGATAAAGATATAAATAAGAATACTAATTTTGTTTTTTATTTAAAAATATTAGTTTTTAAATTGTTTGATTCAAAGATTTTTATTTTTTATTTTTTATTTAAAATTTAACTAAATGATAATGTTAATGTAACAAATTGATTTTTTTTAATTGTTAATATTTTTAAATAAAAA